CTTAAAAGACAAAAGATATTTCAAGCCATGGCTCAGAAGGATGCCTCAACATGGGATGTCTGAACATATAAAAGCTTTCGAATAAACTACACCAAGTATGGTTGATTCATCTTAACGAAGAGCATCGACTCATACAAGGGCGTCACAGATTCGACAATTTTGAACCAAGTTATAGAAGGTTAAGATTTAACTTTTATGATCATTATATTCCAAGGTTATATAATCTAAGAAATAAAAATTCATTTTCTAACAACTAATAATGAGAGGCATGATTTTTAGGTTTTTCCCTATTCTCATTTAACTCATTCGCTTGAATCATTTCTTAGTTCGAATTATGTCAAATTAATTCCTTTATCTCACTTTAGTCGTTTGAAACTCAATCACTTTGTGGGATCTCGAGAATGATACTTTGCTTAGCTCTATGTAAATAAATCTTTTACAAGAGTTGTTGTTTACACTAGTGCAAAGGCGCACTCATTAAGAAAGCACTTGTTAATGAATTAAATAACGATTAATATTAAAGAATATTTTCAATGCGTAATTTTGAATAAACGTCTAATTTTTTAAATTTCTTAACATAATTTTTTTCTTAATCAGACATTTGTCAAATGATTGTGACTAGACTCGCACTTTCCTTTGTCGGCAAATATTAATCAATGGGGGAAAGCAAGGGCATATTTGTTTGCAATACTGCAATACCTCAATTTAGGAGTATATAAGTGCCATTTTTAAAAGAATTTTTTATTTTAGTTAACCGACAAGGTGGGCAACACTAATGGATAACATAGGATCGCAAATGAAGCATATGACAATTGAGAATTTTGTTTAACTTTTTCATCTAATAGTTTTTATTTTCGGTTTTTTGGTATTTCATTAATCTGTACTGAGACACTCTGTTTTAATTATTTAAAAATGTAAATGTTTCAATTTTTCAAAACTTGATTAAAATTTAAAATCTGTTTTTAGTAGATTGTGCGACGTCAAGGTTTTTCGAAAAAACTAATATTTCATGTCTTCGAGTAAAATTCAAAAATAAAAGTAAAATAATTTCTACTCAATACCTGTGTTAACTTGCCGTTTTCATTTTCGTATTTTTCTTTTGTATTTTCAATTATTACTAGAAAAAAGTTGGAAATATAGTAAACCTTCCATTTTTTATAAATTTTTTATTATTATTTGCCATATTTAAATCTTCCAACCGTTGTGAAAATTAAAAGACATTTTTAGATTTTTTCGTGAAAATATGGAAGAAGAGTTAAAACATAAATAAATATTAGTAATTAAAAATTTATTTGGAATTTAATCAGGATGTAAATTCTGAGATAAGACAAGAGATATAGTTTTAATTAGGGAAAAGTTTTGATTACTAATTTTAGATTAGACGAATTGAGGAAAAATTTTGATCTTAAAAGACAAAAGATATTTCAAGCCATGGCTCAGAAGGATGCCTCAACATGGGATGTCTGAACATATAAAAGCTTTCGAATAAACTACACCAAGTATGGTTGATTCATCTTAACGAAGAGCATCGACTCATACAAGGGCGTCACAGATTCGACAATTTTGAACCAAGTTATAGAAGGTTAAGATTTAACTTTTATGATCATTATATTCCAAGGTTATATAATCTAAGAAATAAAAATTCATTTTCTAACAACTAATAATGAGAGGCATGATTTTTAGGTTTTTCCCTATTCTCATTTAACTCATTCGCTTGAATCATTTCTTAGTTCGAATTATGTCAAATTAATTCCTTTATCTCACTTTAGTCGTTTGAAACTCAATCACTTTGTGGGATCTCGAGAATGATACTTTGCTTAGCTCTATGTAAATAAATCTTTTACAAGAGTTGTTGTTTACACTAGTGCAAAGGCGCACTCATTAAGAAAGCACTTGTTAATGAATTAAATAACGATTAATATTAAAGAATATTTTCAATGCGTAATTTTGAATAAACGTCTAATTTTTTAAATTTCTTAACATAATTTTTTTCTTAATCAGACATTTGTCAAATGATTGTGACTAGACTCGCACTTTCCTTTGTCGGCAAATATTAATCAATGGGGGAAAGCAAGGGCATATTTGTTTGCAATACTGCAATACCTCAATTTAGGAGTATATAAGTGCCATTTTTAAAAGAATTTTTTATTTTAGTTAACCGACAAGGTGGGCAACACTAATGGATAACATAGGATCGCAAATGAAGCATATGACAATTGAGAATTTTGTTTAACTTTTTCATCTAATAGTTTTTATTTTCGGTTTTTTGGTATTTCATTAATCTGTACTGAGACACTCTGTTTTAATTATTTAAAAATGTAAATGTTTCAATTTTTCAAAACTTGATTAAAATTTAAAATCTGTTTTTAGTAGATTGTGCGACGTCAAGGTTTTTCGAAAAAACTAATATTTCATGTCTTCGAGTAAAATTCAAAAATAAAAGTAAAATAATTTCTACTCAATACCTGTGTTAACTTGCCGTTTTCATTTTCGTATTTTTCTTTTGTATTTTCAATTATTACTAGAAAAAAGTTGGAAATATAGTAAACCTTCCATTTTTTATAAATTTTTTATTATTATTTGCCATATTTAAATCTTCCAACCGTTGTGAAAATTAAAAGACATTTTTAGATTTTTTCGTGAAAATATGGAAGAAGAGTTAAAACATAAATAAATATTAGTAATTAAAAATTTATTTGGAATTTAATCAGGATGTAAATTCTGAGATAAGACAAGAGATATAGTTTTAATTAGGGAAAAGTTTTGATTACTAATTTTAGATTAGACGAATTGAGGAAAAATTTTGATCTTAAAAGACAAAAGATATTTCAAGCCATGGCTCAGAAGGATGCCTCAACATGGGATGTCTGAACATATAAAAGCTTTCGAATAAACTACACCAAGTATGGTTGATTCATCTTAACGAAGAGCATCGACTCATACAAGGGCGTCACAGATTCGACAATTTTGAACCAAGTTATAGAAGGTTAAGATTTAACTTTTATGATCATTATATTCCAAGGTTATATAATCTAAGAAATAAAAATTCATTTTCTAACAACTAATAATGAGAGGCATGATTTTTAGGTTTTTCCCTATTCTCATTTAACTCATTCAGGTTTGAGAAGCTTGAATCATTTCTTAGTTCGAATTATGTCATATTAATTCATTTATCTCACTTTAGTCGTTTGAAACTCAATCACTTTGTGGGATCTCGAGAATGATACTTTGCTTATCTCTATGTAAACTAAATCTTTTACAAGAGTTGTTGTTTACACTAGTGCAAAGGCGCACTCTTTAAGAAAGCACTTGTTAATGAATTAAATAACGGAAAATATTAAAGAATATTTTCAATGCGTAATTTTGAATAAACGTCTAATTTTTTAAATTTCTCAACATATTTTTTCTTAATCAGACATTTGTCAAATGAGTGTGACTAGACTTGCACTTTCCTTTGTCGGCAAATATTAATCAATGAGGGAAAGCAAGTGCATGTTTGTTTGCAATACCTCATTTCAAAATTTTAATATAGACAATAATTGTCTACGTTGCCTAAAGAATGTCTGTGTAGGAAAAGTAATTTTAATAGGCTTTTTAATTTCATCAAAACCAAATATCCTTCAGTTTTTCTTTTCTTAACTTATTGACTGTGAATGCTAGGAATCCTTTGCTACTCCTAGGTAAGTTCGGTTGATTTATAAAATATGAAATTAAAAAGCCGTTAAGGGATTTGAGGGAATAATTTTTTACAAAAAGGTATTATTGCGGCGATAAAACATGTTAATAAATTAATTATTTTGTAATTTTTTCTTATGACTTTGACAGTTTGAAATAGCATGTGTATTCATGAATTAGACAATTAGACAAATATGGAGCCCTTTAATAAATTATAATTATTCTCTATTTCTCTCACTGCGCAAGTCTGTTAATGAATGCTTTATGTCTGGGTAAGGCAAATATGCAGGCAGTCAAAATTCTTTAAGAGGCCATTTAAGGCAAATCCAACATAGTGACACTTCAACAATCATAATATCGGCTTTTTAAATGTTTGACATGTTTTAGTTGGGTCTTTAATTGTTAAAGAAAATAGTCGAAGTTTAATAATAGATTTAAATATTTTTTTAAATTTTTCTATTAATTCGTTATTGATAAGAATGCAGTTCACGACTAAGTGTTGTTCCATCATATAACAATGAGGTTATTCCATAAAATAAAAACAAATCCATCAATTCGGTGTAAAGCTACATACTATCTCTCGGATCCATGCATTTTTATTTCAATTTAGAGAATAAACTACAAATCCTGTGATGGCAGACAGTAAGAGAGATGTTGTTTTATTTTTATTAAAAGTGCATGTATACTTTTGTTTTTTATTTTTTATTCTTACCGCTTATTTATGATTTCTCAATAAAATAAGTCAAAGAATAGCCGGCCCGATAATTTCATTGGGGACATAATCCTGGCGTTGCCGCTCTATCCACTAAAACATGCCTGTTAATTTATTGCGAGGAGGGCTTTTTCATTGACTGTATAGCGTTAGTCGCTCATGTTAAGCGCGCGTAACATTCTTTATAGTGAATGCTCTATTAAATTTAGATATTATTTTTTAATTTATTAAATTTGACTTTTTTAATTTTTATTAAATTTTAATTTTATTTAAAAAATATGAAACCCTATTTACTTAAGTAATTACACTTTGTAATAATTTTTTCAATATCTCGTTGTACAGTGGGATTAATAGAGGTGTAGTAATATTTTAGTGATGCTAGCGTTGTTGTTACTAATGCTTAGCTTTTTAAGTTTTTCATATTTTTCTGAGTCGACGAGTCCGAAAAAAATATCGAATCGTTCTTTGCTGGCAATTTAATAAAACGCAATCAATCGTGTTTTTAAAAAAATTTAATAATTTTAATTTTTAAACTTTTAATTCATCATATTTTATTTTTTCTTTAATAGATAAAGTCGGATTATTAATTTTGAAATTTTTTAATTTTGAAATTATGATAATTTACAAATTTGCAATGTTCCTATTTTCAATTTACATTTTATCCGAGCTGATAGAATGTTCGGATAAAGGAAAAAGTATTGCTGGCGTTGAATCTACTGGAGAAGAAGGGGCAACGGGAAGTCAAGGTCGTAGAGGTCGAGGTAGAAGAGCGCGTGTTGATGAACAATCTCGTTTAAGTGGACAAAGTCAAGATGCTTATATTCTAAATCCACAGGAATATCCTACTGATCAGGAGAGGTTAAATCTTATTCGTCAATTGAATCGTAGTATAAATAATCGCCAAATGGAAAGGGAAGAATTGTTGAAATTTAGACAGACTATCTTGTATTTAAAAGGTGAAGAGGAAAGAAATGAAAGAAAGGAATTCTTAAACACTATGAAAGGGATTGCTGACCGAAATAATGAAAAAATTAAAAAATTTATGAACGAGAAAAAGGATGAATTCTTAAAATATGGTAAGTTTATAAGGATAATAGCTACTTAAATAATCGTGCGTTTATTTATAGTTAAAGAAATAAAATTTTAGGGAAGAAAACAAAGAAAGTTTCAAAGCAAGCACCAAAAAAAGGAAAGGAAATGGCATTAACAATTAGAGACCCTGAAGAGATGCAGCCAAAATATGTTCAAGGGAAAGGAAAATCAATCGAATGTAAGTGCTTAGCAGGGGGGGTCATATTTTAAATAACTGCGAAAGAGGGAGGTGAAAAAAATATTTGACAGAATTCGGCGGAAGACAGAAATGCACTATTGAGATTCTAATTCTCTATTACAGATAATTATTATAATTAGTATTAGTTAAATCTTTACATACTCTTAACCGATAGTAAAACCGACCTAAAAACAAACAAACACTTAATTTTTATCAAGCACAAGGTTTGGGAAAACAGCCAATGTTTGCTGTACCTACACCTGTTGAGATGTATATGGATAGTCATCTTGCTTCACAGCAATATCCACATGGACATTATCTTCCTCCATGTAATTTTTATTACATTTCAGCGTAAAATCCACATTACTTTACATTTCCTATCGATTTACTATAAAAGCCAATTTATTAACGCAAAAAACATTTTTAGTTATACTATGGGGACACGCCCAGAACACAGCAAAGCCATAACCTCTTATATGTATACTTACACTTAGTAGACTAAAGTTTCACAACAAATCGAATGATAATTTCAGATGTTATGAAAGTATAAATAATATCATCTATTTATTTAAAGCCTAAATTTTCTATTTATAAATATCTTTGTTTAAACAAAATAAATTTTAATATTAAGCACAAGACTCGGAAAAACGGACAATTTTTGGAGGAAAAACACAGAGTCAATTGCTTTCAGCTATTCAATTTGCTGCAAAAAACCATCCACAAGGATATCTTTTTCCTCCGTGTAATTTAATTTAAATATTTTTCTTATTAATTTTTTGCCACAGCTGAATAGTTTTCTTCTTAAACTTAATATAAAATTTAGATAATCAAAGTGCATCGTCTGGAATGCAATCGAATCCTGGTAAATATCATGTTATGTTTTGCTAAAACTATTTATTAAGTAGGCAATCCAACTAATGTTTTAAATATTCCTAGTGATGAAGAAACTGAATCCGATAAATACGGAAACAACTGAGAACAAAATTAAAATTGAACAGAAAGTGAAGTTAAAAATTTGTATACCGAGTGATATCAATGATATTATTTGTTTCTAGAGAACAAATTGTTAAATGTCCAGCTCGCTGTACAAATGTCCGCAAAAAGCATTCGCAAAAAGGCTACTTTTGTTGCATTCGCTCCTTTCCTTCTCCTTCGAATGATTGTGATACATTTGGAGCAACAAACGGAAGGGACACTGTATTTCAACTGAAACAGAAAGTGATATAGATTTCTGATTTAAAAATCTAATATACCGTATTTTTTTAATGAATGTCCGCCATTCCATTTTTCAAAATCCCAAAAATAGTCATACAATTTGAGGGACTCCAAACTGTCCACCAATCATTTGAAAAAGAAGGAACGGTGTAAATGCAGCAAAAAATGCTTTTTGCTGAATGTATTTTGCGGACATGTGTACAGCGATCTGGACATCTGCCTAACGAATTTTTATTCATTCTTAGATTATTTAAATTTAGAATATAAAGATATAAAAGTATTATTTTGTCTGACGGCACTAGATTTAATGAGATCAGAATATAAAAAGTTACATTTAGCAAGTTCGCGCAATCGTTAATTAGCTATATTTTAAATGATTTTTTACCTTTTTAAGGTAAAGGTAAAATTCATATTCATTTTTTGAGCAAGAATTATGGCGCGGTTTATCTGGCCTTCATAAAATAGAAATTTCATGCGTAATAATTGCTTTCAATTTTAATAACTCGGGACTTCTTTCTTATTCGTTGACAAACTTTTAGGTTGTCTGCGGGTTGTTTCTCAACATTTTTTTTCTTAATCAGACATTTGGAAATGATTGTGATTAGACTTGCACTTTCCTTTGTCGGCAAATATTAATCAATGGGGAAAAGCAAGGGCATGTTTGTTTGCAATACCTCATTTCAAAATTTTAATATAGACAATAATTGTTAGAGAAATGGAGAAAAATATGTCTGTGAAGTGAATCGTAAGAATTCGCTATTAAATTAATAAGTTAAAAATATTTGAATAGGGAATTATTTTAAGTTTTTGTATTAACCATTCAATTAAGAAATGGAAATTTCGAAAAGTTTAATATTTCTTTTTATTATTTGCCTATTGTTTGAAGTGACTGAATGCGGGAAACGTAAAAAACTGGAAAAAGAAAATGATGAAAAGGATGAAAGAGAACGTAGAGAAGTAACGGCCGAATTCGGGAAAGGAGAGTTAAGGATTGACGAAGCTGAAGGATTGTCTCATATGGAAGTTGAAGGAGAATATTTTGGAAGTCACTTAGTTGAAGGACAAGGACTTGTTGCACATGAAGTAGAGAATGAAAACTCAAAAGTTAATAAGAGTGTAAACAAACTTTCCGCGGACGTTGTAAACGCTTTAAAAAAACTTGTTTTACGAAAAGATGGAGTGATTGAAGGAAAAACATCATTTATCAAAGAATCTGAGAACAATAAGAAAGCTTTGGAAGACTTGATTTATCTTCCAAAGAAAGAAAATTTTGACGAGTTTCAGCCAAGTCAGTAGAAAATTAAAATTTAGTTATCCTTTTTAATTTCGAGTTGATCTGGCTTAAAAAATAGTTTAATAACTATATCATTCTATCTACTCTGATTGTATTAAAAATGCACAGGTAGAAAAATTAGAATGAGTGGACAAGATAAAGAAATAGAAGCAATGAGTGAAGGAAAAAACTTCCTTATCAAAAAAGATGAAAGCACTAAGAAAATCATGCTAAATTTGATGTATCCACGAATAAAGGGAAATTTTCAGCCTTTTAGTGGGTGAAAATACCAAAATTAATTAATATATTTTAATTTAATTAAATTTTTTTTAAGAATGGACAAGGAAGATTGGACAAGATAAGGAAATAAAAGATGAAAGTAATAATACAGCTTTGCCAAGTCTTATGAGTCTTCCAAACAAGGGAAATTTTAGCGAGTTTCTGTCAAGTCGGTGAAGTTTAAAAGTTATATCTCATTAATATCGACTTAATCCCCGGTTGAAAAAATATGATTTCTTGGGGGTTGATATAACTATGCTATATTATTCAAAAATAAAAAAGTAAAAAAAATTTTCAGATTTTAAACAATCGACTGACCATAATGAAAAGCCTTATGCCAAAAGAGCAAAAAAAAGAAAGGGGGATTGAATTTAAGGTATCACGACTTTTGCGCCGAGAACATTTGCGCCGCGACTTTTGCGCCGCGACTTATGCGCCGGGCGACTATTGCGCCGCGATCTTTGCGCCGCGACTTTTGCGCCTGGGGACTTTTGCGCCGCGACTTTTGCGCCGGGCGACTTATGCGCCGCGACATTTGCGCCGCCATAATTTTAAAAAAATATCTAAAGTCGGACTTAATTATACATAGTGTACTCCTTAAAAATAGTATCCAGAAGCTGAAGGAATTTCAGTAAGTACAATATTTCGGGAAGTACAATATCCCCCTCTAATAAACCGCCCCTAGAGGGGTTATCTTCAAAGAACTTGACTTTTTCAAATCAGGATATTTGGTCTGTTACCCTTATTCAGGCATGATTTTCTGCCAGAAGAGGGTGCACTATAGTGTAAGGTTGTCGGGTCCAGATATCCGGATCTGAAAAAGGCCGGATAGCCGAAAATTTTAAGTCGGATATCGGATACGGGACTTGATATCCGAAGATCTCCAACTATCCTACATCTTCTATAGTGAGGTCCGACTGTAGTTTTTCATAATTATTAATGATAGTGGCGGCGCAAAAGTCGTCCGGCGCAAAAGTCGCGGCGCAAAAGTCCCCCGGCGCAAAAGTCGCTCGGCGCATAAGTCGCGGCGCAAAAGTCGCGGCGCATAAGTCGCGGCGCAAATGTTCCCGGCGCAAAAGTCACGCAACCGAATTTAAAACCCCCGTTGTAGAACCAAGGGAAAAAGAAAAACATCAAATTTGCAAAGGAAAGGGAAAAGGTGTTAATTTAAATAAAGTAATTAAATATAATTAGGATCGTCGCATGACGCGTTTTTCAAATTCCAACTACAGAAAATTATTATAAGATTGTAAAGGCCAAAATCCTATTTTCATATCTTTTTAACTCCACAGGCGAAAATTTTTTCATTTTCACAAGTACAAGAATCCAGAGATTGACTTTTATGATTGCAAGCAAAAAATCAGAAAATTTAAGCAGGAAATTTAATTAAACTTTTTATTTTTAAAAAATTTCGCAGAAATCTGGCCCTATACATCGCGATGCCGGTCAATAATAATATTACTTAAGAATTTTCTTGGATCATTTTCGAAATATGCAGTTTTGTGGACAGATTCGGCACAGAATCTTTTTTAAGCTCAGCAGAAGTAGCTTTCTTAATAACATGTTTTGTTAGTATTTTTATATGTTCACTATTTTGTCTAAGCAGGCAATGTATTAAGTTAATAAAGCATTGATTAATCATGACAAAAATTCAAAAATAAACATAAACTAAAATTTTTAGCTTCAAACAGGCTGAAAGATTCCTCCTCTTTCGACGAAAAGGATTTAAATAAAGAAATTGGTGGAAGTTGTCGTGGAAGAAATTTAGATGATGAAATGAATGAATAAAAAATTAAAAAAAAAACAATTTTTGTAAACTATATGATCGAAGCTTTAGCTCTGTTGGATAACTAAATTTTATTTTCTTAAATCAGAATTTTTAAATTATTTTGAAAATATGTATTTCCCATAATATGTCAGCAAATTCTTTCAGATTTTACCTAAATTTTATTTTATAAATATTGCAAATGTTAATATTGGATAATAGTCAATAAAAATAATAAAGTTAAAAATTTATAAACGAGTAAATATACACCAGGGTTGCCGCCCGAAACCCGAAACCCGGCCTTTTTTTGTACCCGAAACCCGAAATGAAAATTTTATAACCCGAAACCCGTACCCGATATTTTTGCCAACCCGAAACCCGTGACCCGAAATGAAAACGCTCCAACCCGATACCCGAAACCCGTACCCGAAGATTTTTTGTACCCGCGGCAACCCTGATATACACTACAAAAATTATTTATAAGGCCGAAAATCTATTATATTTTTAAAACAAAAGTTTGCAGAATTAATTTGTTCGTAGAAGTATGATTGTAAGTTTTTTATATATCAGATATATTATTTTATATCAGATATATTGTCAATGTATGAACTAAATTGTATCAGCAGTACTGGATAGATTAGGTTGGAGAGAAGTCAAAAGATAAGAGTCAATGTGTGTTTGTGGAAAAAATACTAACTTCTAATATGCTAAATACTGGGTTCTCCCTAACATTTATATAAAGTTATCTTTATACTATCACTAAAAATAATAAAACAAAATGAATATTTGATTTAAAAAATTAAATCTTTGTTTTTTTTTTGCTATTTACACTTACTTTATAAAAAAATTTTGGTTTTGAACATAGCATTTACATTTTTTGGTATAATTTTTTGTAGTTTCTTAAATTACCAATAGGTGACTTAAATAAACTTCAATTTAGTTATAATCAGATACAGTAGCCTCAACAATTTGGGCTTCAGTATCTCCTTCTAAAACGGGTGGCTTCACTGCTGAAATTAAACTATTAACTTTTGTATATTTTTCCTTGTAATAAAAATATATTGTAAAATTTTTTTGATTACCTTGACTTGTAGATGATGTTCCTTCTTTTTCTGAGTTTAAAGGTTTTCCTAGTAATTTTTTTTTCTCAATCCTCTCGAATTTTTCGTAAAAATATTTTATAGTTGCAAGTGAAGTCCGCTTTTTGCCTTTCAGCTTTTCAAG